CATTGGATACTTCTTCTTCAACTGCGGAATTCTGACTCTACTCTGCTGCACACTATCTACATTGTTCTCGTCTTCTCTCCTCTCCCTTCTCTCTACTCTCTTTTCTCCCTTCTCTCCACTCTATCTTCTGAGAAAATTCTAAAGAACATGCCTATATATTCACTACTGACAAATACGGGTGGGTATGCCAGCTGGCTTACCTTAGGAGATCAAGCGTTTGTTGTTAGATCGCTAAACCAAACAATTTCACAAGACTTTCGATCTTAGCAAGAAAGTACTTAATCATAATGCTTCCAATCAACTGAGTCAACTACTGAATGCGTTAGTCAAAATAAGACCTTTCGCGTGGGTCCAAAGCAAGGTCAGTAAACAAGCTAAGCACGTCCACCTGCAGGATAGAAAAGGCTGTCACATTTCGGAAACTCGTCTTAAGAAACCTAAATAACTTTGGAATTCGAATTCATTCATTAAATACTTTCTAAATATAAACGAAAAATTAAATAGTAATGAAATTACTAACTAACTAACTTGCTATTTGTAACCTTACTTAATGCTACATAACACCAGTACAGTAACGAGCACGTTTGTGTAAAAAATTTTTTTAACTCCTTACGGTGAAAAAAACAATAAACTTAGGAGAAAAATTTATAGTAGAGACAACTTCTAAAGTAAAAAATTCCTCCATTTTGGAAATTCCCCCTTTTTTTCAGGATAGTGGTTGTTGCTATGGCTATTGCGATCAATTCTGTGATTGGTGTATTTAGCTTAGTGGAATATGTATGAGTGGCTCCTTCAACTGTCTGACCTCAGGTGTCCGATTACAGCCTACTGTAAACTGTCATCTGTACGACTTCTGCCGTACAGATTGATTAGTGAAAAATAAAGTAGCCAATGCACCAATCACAGTTGAGGAAAATTGTAAGGATTATTATTAATTGCATTGTCGGCAGCAAAACCTTTCCAATGTTCCGTATAAAGAAAGCAATACAACATTATTACGCAGTTCGCAAAACCGCATAAGCATAAGACTCGAAAGCGAAAATTCAACCATTTATTTACAGGTATTCCAATGAAAATTCCACGAATGTTCAAGTAATCAAGCCGAGCAAATCTCCAGTTAGGCAATAAGGCAGGTTTTCTACGAACAGAAATTACACCTGCAGCGAGCGAAATCACGATGCACACAAAATGCGATAGAACTTACCAACTGTTTCGAGTTTAGAGTGACCATGACTCAACAATTTTGGTCAGCAAAATACGCCAGTGCAAACACGGCGACTAGTTCTTTTGCGACAAAGCACATGGCCGATGTTCCGGATGTTGACGTCAAAATGCAAGCACGCAATGGGAACTACAAACATGGAAGTAATATACTCGAACGAACAAAAGGATTAATGAAAAAGCAAATGAGAAAATGAGCAGATAGATAAATTGATAAGCTTTCTACTTTTAACCTCGCGCAGCCTTTCCTTTGCTACGTTTCACAAAAAACCACGTGCATGCTCTCTTTTGATATACATGTATCCTCAATTTTCTTTTCAAGTTTCCTCTTAACAGTTACAGAGGGTAGCCTGCATGCTATGAAATCATTATAAATAACATCTACTTTTTTAGTTGTTTTTGAGGGGGCTTTTCAACATTAGTCTTTCTTTTTCCATTGTTTGGTTTTATTTTTTGTTCTTCTACTTCTTTTTGTTTTGATTTTGACTGATTGTTTGTCTGTTTTCTCAAGTTCTTGAGACTCGAGGGTAAACGAGACTGCCAATGGATCGTACAAATTTTTATTACATTTTGGTGTTGTGTTGTACGTCTCCCATGATCTGTGATATTATCAGCCAACGGTGTAGAGCCAACTTTTACTGTCTATAAAATGATGTTTAAAGGATACATCTTTAATAGTTTAAAATTCACCCAGGCTCGTTAGATTGCAGACAAACCTGCCCCAGTCAAAAATATCTAAGGTCAAAGTTAAGACGTGATCAAATCCAAAAGCATCTGTTAGCTGAATAACAGAACTAAGGAGGCCAAACCAGAAGACTTTATTAAAGACAAGGGCGGATTATTATATGCAGAAAGGTACAGGAAGAGGTAAAACAATGAAAGATCGACAGTATTTAACTCTCCTGATTTAAAAGCTTCCTGTTTTCCGTGTATGAGATGCTAATCAACTTTTAATGTGTCTCATGGCTTAATAGCAATTACTAGTGATTCTAGTTCCTGTCGGCTCTATGCCGGAGCTGCCTGCTGATTCGTGTAAAGCGATAAAGGCGAGTGAAGGAAGACAAGCAGTCAGCGGTAATAACTGGTTGGATCCAACGAGATCTGGAAACCTTATGATAGCTCGTTGCAACATGATTACAAAAGGAAGAACAAAAGCTATTTTCGTACGTCAGCACTTTAACTAACTTAACTGTTTAACATTTCATATTTTACCGCAGTTGCCGACTTTTGCAAAAACATCGTTGTAAAATCAACGTGTGTGAACAATGCAGTGAACAACACATGCGGATGCAATTCATCCGAATAGTCTGGGAGCTATTGTGGAAAAGGTAATACATAAAAGTGATGAATTTTGCAAATGCTATTTGTGATTGTCGCGGCAACTATCAGTGATATAAAAAGTCTGATAAATAGCCAAACTTGCAATTTCGTTTCATGTTGCCGTCGTCAGTTCATTATCGTTTCGGCCACTTAGCTAAAA